TTACGCATCGGCACGCCTTCTCCAGGGCGGCTGGGGAACGGGGGGCGGTTCCGAAGGTCGGCTGCCCACCAAACCACCACCCCAGCCCGAAGGCCCCGAGCTGCCCTCCAGTCTCAGTGGGGCCTGCGCCCCGGAGGAGGGCCCAGACAGAAGCGGGTCGGCCGCACCAGGCCCGCGGAGGCTGCCGAGGGCCCAGCGGAGGTGCCGACGGGCCCGCGGAGGCGCCGGTGGGCTTCGGCCTCGAGGTGGCGAGGAGCTTCGGCTTCGAGGCGGCGAGGTTCGAGGGTGGAGGCCCCGAGGCTCGAGGATCGAGGGCGGCCAGCGCCACCCGCCGGCGGAGCCCACTGCGCCCCCACCGCCCGAGATTGCGTGACCTCGGGCTGGGTGTGGAGGGGTTCTCCGAAGGGCTCAGGCGACCCGTCCTCCTCCTCCTCCTCCTCCTCCTCCTCCTCCTCCTCCTCCTCCTCCTCCTCCCTTCCTCCTCCTCCTCCTCCTCCTCCTCCTCGGGTCGCCTACAGCCCCGGGGGAAACTGTGCCGCTGGGTGGGGGCGGTCTGGTGGGTAATTAGGTCGTCTGCGGCCCCGGGGGAAACCGTGCCGCTGGGTGGGGGCGGTTTGGTGGGTAATTAGGTCCGAAGGCTACCCGAGGAGGAGGAGGAGGAGGAGGAGGAGGAGGAGGAGCAGAGCAGAGCAGATCCTCATGGAGTCCCTGTCAAGATCACGACCTCGAAGCTCGAAAAAACTTGACTGTACTCTGAGAGGGTTCCTTCGAAACCAGACGACTAACGATGCGAGCCCCTCTCAGGCTCACAGCAAAGACTGCACTGGCCGATGAGCGCCCCGATAGGCACGCAGCCCTCAGAGGGGGCCCATACATCAGGCGCGGCGACCTCGTCCTTTCCCCCGCCCACCCGAGCTCGCCCCCCGCCTCCCACTCCCGACGTGTCGGCCACCACGGCCTCGATCCGAAGGCACATTAATTACTGGGATCTCAGGAGCTGTTGTCACTGCGATACCTTCTGGAAGACTAACTGGGGTCCTACTTACTGCCCGAGCAATCTGATCCTGCGTCACACTACCTGCTGCTACAAGTAATGCTAGTCTCTCACTACTGGCCATCATCGGGAATCTGCTAGCTAGCATATCACGACTGTCCTGAACACTGCTATCCCTTTCTGGCGCCAGCTGAGGGGGCGCCTCACGTCCTACTTGTGGTCCTTGCGATCGAGAAACTTCGAGACCTCCCTCTCCAGCGGCCCCCGCGGGGCCGCGCCCGAAAGGAAGGAGCCCCCCTCCACCGCCACCAGCGTCTCCACCATCGGGCCGATCACCGCCCCCAAGTTGTGATGAAGATCCACTTTGAAGAGAAAAGTTGCCTTGTCTTTCTGGCCCTCGACCTTGCGATGAACACGAACGCGGAAGTACTGGACTGCACGGGCGATATCTGACAGCGGAACCTTCGCGAGCTTCTCGTCCCAGAACGCGCGCATGTCCACCTTGAGCTTGTCGGCCCTCTGTTTGATAAGAGGGTCCGCCTCCTCTGCCACCGTCTTGGTGGCTCCGTACTCCCATACTGCCATGAAGATTTGTAGAGGAGGAGCGGGGCGTCCTTTGTGATCCACCGTCTCGCCACCGTCTGCGCGCTTCTTCATCTCTTTGCTCGTCTCGTTGTACGCCACTCCTGCCGCGACTGCGGCTGCGATCATGCCCTGGCCTGCGTCCAACTCGTACCTCAAGTACACCACGGTTCCGAGGTCGGCGAGCTCTCGACTGTTGGCTAAGATCAGCTTGCAGATGACCAAGATGATTTTGTCGAACGGGATGCGACCACCCTGGCTGCCCGACTCCTTCTTGCGAGCTTTGGCGTCGGGCTGAGTGCCATCGGCTTCTGGGGAGGCGGCACTCTTGAACCACGCAGGTCTCTGGAGAGCCTCGACTTCCATGATGAAAGCCGTGCACGTCGGTACTGATCGTACGAGTAGTTGATATGAAGGGCGCGATCTGAACTGGCAGATGGCTTCGGAGATGGCGACAGAGAGACAGCGTATCCTCCCCCACATAGTCACAGCATGGGCACTCATAGGACGACGGGGTAACCATCGGGGCCAATGTACGAGGTCCACACGTGAGGCAGTTTCCCTTCTGTAGTGATCGCAGTAGATGACGGGCAGCAGTAACTTGCGTTGCGAAAGTCTGTAAACAGTGAATGCATACGTTGCTAGGTGTTAGTACATGTGCTAGGTTGCGTAGTTGATGACAATGCCGTAGATGTTCAAGTAGCTGCTTACGAGTACTGAAGGCGCTCTTACAGGGCTCCCCATTGAGGTCCATCGGGCACACGAAGGGCAACTCAACCTCTGCGTGATCTTCAGGCACTTCGGGAGGGACCACTGGTGGAGCATATCCAGGAGGGGGGATGCAGACAGAGAAAGCTTGGCTCCGAAGCTCGGTCATATCCACTCTCTGAAAATCCTCTGAGGCCTCCAGGTCGGTGAGAAGACGCAAGTCATTGGCAATATCTCGCAAGCTCTCGTAGGGGAGCAGCCTGGAGACACGATCCAAATCGGACGCCACCTGTTTTGTCCACGGCGAAGAGTTCGATGCAGGCCGTCCTGCACACAGTTGAGGTCGCATGAATTCGATGGGAGACGACCCAAATAATGCGCATAAAATCTGAGCGTGTTCCTCAGGGTGCGCACTCCAAGACTGATACAGCTTAACTCTGCGAATCAAGAGCTCCAGCGAGGATGGAACCAGCTTCCAATACTCAAGTACCTGTTTAGCCGATAACGATTTCACGTGCGGGCCCTCCCAGGAAGTAGCTTTCCCCATCATAGCAATACGACCCAGACGAGCCAGACAGCCATCTACAATCGTAGTGTCCGTCTCCGTGACCACGAAACTTTCGAGTCCACTTAGTAAAGCGTTCTGAACGAACCCGATGAAGAGACTACGTTTCCACCTTTTCGGGATCCCAAGACTCCACGCCCTGCCCAGGGAGAAAAAGCCCGAACGAGCCGCCGAACACCTCCTGGATATCTCAGACCTAGCCGAAGCGCTTAGCTGCAAGTAAGGCCCAATATATCTAGCTTGTTCCCGAACGGAGCCCCGGGGGAGAGAGGGGTCTCGGCGGAGCAGCTGGCGACACTGATAGCCACGGGCAGCGAAAAACATAAGGTACTCTTGCTTGGTGCCGTTCTGGCCGTAACCAAAATCCACAAGATAGGAGTCTGATATGGCATCAACCGTCTCAATCTTGGCTGTGAAATCTCTCAGCGACATCTGCGGGTCCGCCAGGGCAAAACTGTTGATATCGTCAGCGAACTTGTACGTGCTCAGGTCGGCTTGGAGTCCCTGCCAAGATGCTCGCAATCGCTTCGACTGAACATCAGCTTGGGACTCTCCATGCCTCCAGGACAAAATTGGGCGTGCGAATGTACCCACAAAGGCTCGAACAGCAAAAGGATCCCCCATCGTGTTCCCCTGTGAAGGTCGAACTGTGAGAGGGCCCTCAAGCGCGCCCAGCGAAATAATAGCATTCTTATATCGTTGTTGGCAAAGAACGTGATCACATTCACGAGAGTGAAGAAGTACGGTTGTGTCCAGCTGG